TTTGTATTTTATGTTCGTTCAACTACTTCCCATACCAATTGTATGTGAGTGTATGGTCTGAAAATGTCAGATTTAAATAGTAAAGAAATATAAAAAATAAGTGGTACCTGCTTTTCAGAGAACAGTAAAAAATATTAGTAAAACATTTTGCTGGTTTGTCTAGACACTCAAAAAAAAAACTATCATTCAGCCAGATAATAATTAGGTATGTTCTGAATAATCATGCCCCAATACTAAAAGAAAGCCATATTTTTGGCGATGTCCATGTTAAACTTGCTTATTCTCGTAATATTAAAAATTATGCATGCTCTATAAAGCTGTAGAAACAAATCTAATCATTTCAATTCTCAAATACTTAAATCGGAAATGATTTAGTAAGGTTATGTTATATTTTGTCATATAGTGCAGCAATATGAAACTATTATACAACAAACCATGATGAACTTGTTTTGTAGAAATGAGTAATACAACTTAATTATTGTATTACAGCTGTTTTTACTACAATAATATTTTATAATTATGATTCAGTCTTAAAATAACTTTCTAATACCTCTGAATAGCCGCCATATTGAACAAAAACCTAAGACAGTTTTAAAGCTAAATCTACTGTCGGTTTTACTAGTATTTAAGACAAAACCAATGTTAATTAAAGATTTTAATCATTAGTAATATTAGCATAATCTTATTACTAAAAAAAAATCAAATTGCATTAATTTAATTTTTGTTTCACACTGAAAAAGTATTAGAAATATGAATCAAACTCGAGGCGCTTAAAAATTTAGTATTGTATGTGCTATATAATTAACAGTAATTCTTGCTGCGTATCCAAAAACGCTTTATTGTAGGTCATACATTATGTCTAAACCGCGTCATAGATATCTCTTAAGTAGATACTGCCATTTTACTAATATCGTCTTGAATTTACTTTCATGACAAATATAGAATTAATTTGTTTTCACCAGATACATTTAAAAAACTAAAATGTTACTGATTTTGATATGCAACCTAACCTCAAAATTGAAAATTTATAAAACAGTTATAAAAGTTTAAAAAAACATTTGTTTAAAGTCTGTGTAAATGTGTAGTAACTGTTCGGTAACTGCATTCAACAAATCTTATAGAATTTACAAAAGAACCAAATAGTTCTGTAATACTGCGCCCATTTTGTGTTTATTACTGTTGAAAGAATGTTCCGGAAATGTTCTTAGCTAATATTCTATTTTATAAATTTGGTTCTGTAAACATTTTTTCAGCTTTTATAAAATATCAAATTGTTACTTGGGCATACTCTTAATCGTAAGGCAAATAATCCTGACGAAGCTGTTTAACCAACTCATCCCAGGAGTGGAAACTATGAGTGAGGAACCATGCCAAGGCATCCTTTCTAAATAATTAAGAGGCGAACCTCAACAATTTATCCTTGAAAATGCCTCGTGATATCCTAAGTTCTTCCACACGTTCAATGAAATTGGAGACGGTAGCTTCCCCACCAAAGAAAATTTTCCATCTACCTACATCATAATATTGTTGAGAAGGATCACTTAAATGAGAAGATTGTAGATTTGACAGTTCTAAATTTCTAAGTCTACTTTCTAGATCTACGGTAGAGTTGAACGACGGCCTAGTTCCATTTTCTACTGTGTTAAATCTTTCAGAGGATCGGCTATCATGTAGCGAAGGTATAAAATCTTGATAAGAAACTGAACGTTCAAATCGTCTTCCAGAAGATTGAAAATTTCTTGAGGACCATGTAGGGTTACTATGGGTTTGGCTGTCAATTACTTGTGATACTGCTCTGAGTGGGAAGTCCGAAAATCTTACAGACGGTACTCGTTGCTAAGAAGAATGGTCAATCTCTGATACAGGGTTTTCCCTTGTTGATTAAGTAAAGGGTTGATATAAAGTTACCATAGGTCTAGGCTGAGGAATAGTTGATCTTGGAACTTCACTTCCTTCAAACCTTACTGTATGTGGGATACTCCGGGTTCCCAGAGTTTTAGTACTAACGGGATCCATAGCAATACCCATTGGAATTAAAGTGCTCACTTCCTTTGGAATTCGTAAATAATTTCGATCTAACTCAGAATGAGCACGAACGTTAGTAGTACCAGATTCTTCAACATCTACTAGTGACGTAGGTGAAGAGGTATGTACCACTTCAGGTATCAGAGGATTTGGTTCATCCAATATTGATGCTTCAGTTACATTTATACCATCCAAGATAGCAGCAGAAGGTACATATTCATCGCAATGTGTGCTGGCTTCCATTATGAAAACTAATGAATTCAAAACAGCCTCTTTTGATAACCGAAATCTTAGAAAAAAGGTCTGTGTATCAAAATATTGGCTTCTCGTATACACTCTTCGCGGTATTCCATTTAATATTAATTCAACAGCTTCCAATTCATCATCGACATCATCCCTTAACAGTAAATCCATTTTAATTTGGGCAACACCAAACCAAATTTTTAAAAAATAATGGCCTTTTTCACGTAATTATAAATTTGACAAATCTGTCACATATTGTCAATTTTCTTTCGTTAAAATCTTAAACCTCAAATATTTACAGTTTAGGTAAACTCATAATAACTACTACTTAACAAATATGACGGTGCGAATGAAAATGTCACTCAATGTCAATATAAGCAGAGTTTATCGCTTAACGAATAGTGGTGCGAACGACCCTTGATATTTTTTAGTCCAGTGTAATAATGCAAAACATCATTATTGTGTACACATTTTGCTACTGACAAATACTGTTGACATAACCAGTTTAAACAGCAACATCTGCACCCAAAAACTGCTTAAAATTTTCTATATTGATATTGATTTAATTACTAGGCATATTATTATCATCAAGTTCATTACATTTTTTTATTCGATTTTTGGTTCAGCTGTCAAGTGTTTGTTAACGCTGAGATAATATTAGCGGTTTTATTAGTTTTCCTAATAGCTGACTGGAAAACGCTTCCTTCTTAAGAATTTTTCTAGTATTTTTTAAATCTTAAATAAATTAATTACTGAAAATTATGAACCTAAAATATGTAAACATTACCCACCATAATGATATCCTGTTTCTAAAAATCACTTTCTTGAAAGTATTTGGAAAACACATTTCTACTGTTTGATGGTTTAAAATTTAACCTATTTGTGGTTCTAGGGTAGCTGGGGTGAATGGTGGCCCCTTAAGCGGTTTTATTAATTTTAACTTCCATGAATTCACAGATATTAATTAAGTTAAATTAAATTTAAATTGAAAAGTGATTTTATGGACAGTCAGGCATATTAAATTTAAAATGAAACGTGACTTAATGTACAGGTAAAAATGCTCAGGTGTTGGGCATCACTTATCTGATTCGAGCAGACAGTCGAGGAGTTGATAGAAAAGTGGCACCTCCTGAGTATTGCCGGGTCATTCCAAAGCTTGAAAAGAATGTGATATAGATGTCTAATCTCTGCTGGTTGACTCTAGTGGTGCGGTACTTTCCAAGTCTACTTAGCCATTGTAGGCCCTCCAGGTCTACTTGGCGACTGGTCTATTTTACTAGCTCTCCTGGTCTACTGGTCTATTTCACGACCATTAAAGTAGGTGGTCAATTGTTACCTAATAAGTACATTTGAAGGGCAAGGGGAAAAAACAGACGATATCACAAAACTAAGAACTAAGAAAATTGAGTTTATAATTAATAATATTACCAAATCGCATGTTACAATCACAGACATAAATAAAACTGCACGTTAATATTATTAAAGTAATTTATTACTATATAGTTAAATTGTTACAAAATAATTTAAACGTAAGAATATTATATTCAAGTTAAAAAAAAAATAAACGTGACAACTTATTAAAACAGAATGGTTTTTATTTTAAAAATAACCTAAAATAAATAGATTTTCATCTGTATAACAATGTTTCTCAAAATTCGTTAGTATTTGGGTGACAAAATCGTTTTAGTACTTGCAAATCGTTGTATTTAGCCTGGACAACATCGGTTTTTTTCCAGTAGTGCAAGGACAACGTCTGTTTTTAACCATTATGATTATTTATAAACGCCTTATTATTCGGACCTCGTTTGTTTTATTAGCTTAAAATTTAGAATGGGTTTGGGAATCGATATCACCAACAGAAAAGTTGATTACTTAAAAATTCCTATAAAATGGACATCGTTGGTTTTTTCCCCTTACCCTTCATTTGTTTCCTCCTTATGTATTAATTTGGCGTAGTTCAAGTTTGGAATTATCTATTTCATTTTCTGTATGTAGTCTATGATTTTCAGTGGCTAGGTAATTATGTATTAACACACATGTTAATACAATTTGTTCTACTTTACAAACATTTAAATTTATGGTAGTTAAAAGAATGCGAAACTGGTTAGCTAAAATATCAAATGTGTTTTCAATAATACGTCTAGCCCTTGATAAGCGGTAATATAATGTTTTGGTTTTATAGTGGTGAAATTGTAATTGTTTATTTATATCGCTCACTGGGTGCAATAGTGGCACATCAACAAAATGTGAGTTTTGAGAAAATCATCGATTTGTAAAATTGAATTGAAATATTTAAATATTCCACGACAACCCTATTACTTAATTAGAAGTCTTGCATTGATATGTGTTTCAAATTTAGATATCCAATTGTTATATTGCTATTTTTTTTAAAAAAAAAGTCTTTGATTTTTATTTTGGGAAAAATAAATAATTGTGCCGGTATTGACTTTTTTAACACACATACTTTTTCTGCGTAAAGTAGAATAACTTGTTGAGAAATTCTTAATAAAACTGCAGTTTATAGTTTTAACATTTTATTACAAAAAAATGGGAATCAAAATATAGTTTGGTAGCTGTAAAAGTTTATTTAATTATCTACGAGGTAGGACCCTAATTTTACCAAACTCAAAAAAATAACAAAAAATTCCACAATTTGCAAATTGAACAAAAACTACAATTCTAAAACTGAAAAAATCAACTGATAATTCCACAATTTGTAAATTGAACAAAAACTACAATTCTAAAACTAAAAAAAAAAAAATGATAATTCCAGAATTTGCAAATTGAACAAAAACTACAATAATTTTAAAACTAATAAAACAACTGATATTAAAATTAGTCTTTGGCTCGTTTCAGACTGCTATAAAAGTGACTGTGACATTTTTTAATGGCATTCGTTTTTAACAAATCCATCAGGTCGTCAAATGCCTGTCAATGCCTATTGGTCTTAGTCTCTTTTTCGGAACTGGACATTGTATTTCACGACAATTTTTGAGCTGATGTCGCTTCAAAGTATATGCGTTGGAATATAGTTTACCACACTTCTTACACTGCATGTTGTTAACTCGCTGTAAATTACGAAACTAGAAAACGCAATGAATGCGGAGTTCCTTAAATAGAAAGAGGTCACGTGACTGTCAGATAGTGGGGTTGAATGGAGACAGCAAGAGTAGGATATCGTTATCATTATAATTTACAGGCCATGTGTTTGCCAGATGTTAAAAACTTGCAATAGAATATCGTTATCATTCCCAGAGATATTAAATTACATGCCAGATGGTCAACATGTGTGCAAATATTATTATATGCGGGTATTAACTTACATGCCAGATGGTCAACATGTGTTAAAAATATTTCGTGAGAAAATTAAGTCGTTATCATTCCCAGAGATATTAAATTACATGCCAGATGGTCAACATGTGTTTGCCAGATGGTTTGCACATTTTGCTCTGTCATAGGGTTTGCACATTTTGCTCTGTCATAGGGTTTGCACATTTTGCTCTGTCATAGGGTTTGCACATTTTGCTCTGTCATAGGGTTTGCACATTTTGCTCTGTCATAGGGTTTGCACATTTTGCTCTGTCATAGGGTTTGCACATTTTGCTCTGTCATAGGGTTTGCACATTTTTCTCTGTCATAGGGTTTGTACATTTTGCTCTGTCATAGGGTTTACACATTTTTCTCTGTCATTTCCTCTCTACTGATATCATAAAAGCTTGAACTGTTTTAGCCAAAGTTTCAGGATAATTTTTAAAACGTCTATACAACTTTCCATTTTTGAAATCTAGTTTGCAATTTAGATAAATTTCGTCCAATTATAAAATAAAAAATCATTCAATATTATTTGTTTTTTACTTAAAACTTCTAAAAGATGATTGTTTCCTTGTTCTGATTTAGGCGAAGGTATAGAAGATGATGATATTTGCTGTAAATGTTTTACATGTGGTAAAATTAGACAAGAAGTTTCTTTTATAGAAACATATATATATATATATATATATATATATATATATATATATATATATATATATATATATATATATATATATATATATAAGTCAACCATAAAAGACCATAAAATCATTTCTTAATATTTTCTACTTTTCGAGAAAATTAAATTAAATTGCTCTATTACAAACTTTGTTTTTCGTGATTACTTTGGGAATTCTCACTCACAACCATTTCTTTTAGATGACACATTTTTTTTTAATACATGCTATCAAGGAATCTGTTGAAAGCAACAAATCTTCTCTTTTTACATCTTTATACCTTATTAAAATGTTTTCCAATTGAGACCATCTACTTAATTTTAAATTGTTCGGCAATATCCAACTTAGCTGTTCACTTGTTATTAAATTTTGGTTTGCAGACAGTTAACATACCATGTCCAGAGATATTTTTAAACAAACTGTGATGACTGGCACATCATCAAAATCACACTTATAAAACACCACTTTACACGGATTAATGTTCAGAGTCCATTCATTGAACACTTTGTTTCGTAAACTAGAAACAAAGTTCTCGTAACTAGGAATTAGATCTGCATCTAACCACTCCTCTCTTTGTCTTTCGGCCCTGTTAAATAGTTCTTGCTTATGGTTTTCTGGATTTCTCCTTGAAATATTTTCCTTAACATTTAAATATTTTGGCACATTTGGAAATATGGTGGATACAAAACAAAACTGTTCTGCTACGAGGATACTCTGTCCATTCACCTGAGACATTTTTGTATTTTTCAAACCTTGAAACATCGTTTTCTTTAAAAAAATTTATACACACAACAGATGTTTTTGTGGGACTCCAATCTTTTCTTGGAATATTTTTCAACCATAACTGTCGTTTATCCACATCCACAGGAAATCTAAAAACGGTTACATAACCATCTTGGGATGAAGCATAATTACTGGTACAGCCAGGAACGCAACATTTGGGTGGAATTTCTCTCTATAAATGAGAAAGTAAAAGTAAGCATTATTTTCTGATTATTTTCCCTCACATATTTTGTTTTTGCTATTTAAATTAGCCTACTTACCAATGCAAAATATAACGTAAACACTACTCAATTATTATAAATAAAATCACAGATATTAAACACAAACACTAACAACAACAAACTAAAATGTAAGTACAACAATGATGTGGATGTCGCTCAAGCTGCCTACCAACCCTCGATCGGACATCGGACCACACGTGGCATTGCCAATGTAAACACCCTCTGGCATGTAGGCTCACATCCTACATCTATAGAGTTTGTCTGGTAAGAAAATAGGTATAATTAACATTAAATTATTTAAAAATTTAAAAATTAAGAAGCAAATCGTTTGTTTTAAGCTAATATCAATTATGTTTTAAACTTTATATTGATTTATATTCAAAGAATCTCTTTCTTTTAGACCTGTTGTCAAATGATGTACCTATTTAAGAAAATGGCTTTACTAAAAGCTAACTAATAAGCTGCAAATTCGATATGATGTCAACACAATTACTATTGTAACTAAGAGGTGAGTAACCTTCCAAAGCAGAAGACAAAATTATAGTTTCTATTTGTACTGCATGAGACGTTAGAGAAAGTAAGAGGCTATTTAGAAGATACACATATTTTTAAAGAAGCTGTAAGTTTTACTTTTATTAAATAAAATAGAATCGTTTTGTAACGTTTAAAAAATAATGCATTGAAAGTGGTTTCATAAGTTATTTTTCTTGTAATGTTCACAAATACATTATTATTGCACTTTTAGATTCAGCAGTTACCAAAACCAGGGACAAGGACATGTACGAACTTATAAAAATATGTTTTCTTGCCATAATTTCTAATACTCTCACGAAATAATTCACATAATATAATGGTATGAATTATTTATTGTTTCGGCCTTTACTTGATGAAAATCCATTTAATTTTGAAAGAGTAAAACCAAATTTGGTAGATTTTCACACTTTTATTTTGAAAATAAAAATTTTTAAAAAAACACTAACATGACATATGTTTCGAAGTACAACTTCTTTTTCAAATGTGACTATTTACAATTCGGTATCCAATATATATACGAAATAATTTAACAAAACAAAGTACTTCCCAGTTTTCTGTGAGATAATCCCGGTAATGGGCTATCTTATTGTTATCTGATGGATATTATAATTACCTAAGTACCCTTATTTACTTAAATAGTTAGTTTATTTTGTAATGTTATTGATGTTTTCTTAAGTACTTTGTTTTGTTAAATTATTTCGTATATATATTGGATACCGAATTGTAAATAGTCACATTTGAAAAAGAAGTTGTACTTCGAAACATATGTCATGTTAGTGTTTTTTTAAAAAAAAATTTATTTTTAAAATAAAAGTGTGAAAATCTACCAAATTTGGTTTTACTCTTTCATAATGGTATGAAAGTAAAATGGTAATTTAAAGACACAATGAGCAGTTTTTTGTTTATACCTAAGTTTAGGGGTAAAAGTACATTAGTCAATGCACATTTTCATATTAGTTGATACCATTTTATCTAAAAGTTTTACATTTTTAACTATCAGTTTTGCCTGATCATGCGTTTATTAAAAGATTGATTCAAGAGTCAATATTCGTATAAAATGTAATGTCTGTTTTAGCTGCTGCTGAGAGTGACAATCGTGCTGCGTAAAAAGTAAGCGAAATAGCCTTAAGAAAATGGCTGAGATCAACAGAAAGGAGTGCGTATAAAACCAATACATGCTTGATATTATTTATGACAATAAAAATAAGTTCACAGTTGCAATTATTTTATTTATTATTATAGGTGGTGATGTCCATAAACTGTCCAAAAGCAATACAAAAAGAGTCCATATATGGACATTTCATGAAGTTCAAATGGACGTCCACGAGTGTATAGCCCAATGGATGTCCTTCGGTAAAATGCTGGACGTCCTTTGGATAGCCGATATGTCCATCAATGGATTTCCGATGGACATCCAATGGATTGACTTGTGCTGTCTGGGTGTGACAATTGACAAAGAAAAAATGCAGTTGAAGTATGGTCTGTGGTTGAAGTTGTATATGGGATGCTTTTTATTTTATTTTTCTATACATTTTCTATACAGTTGTTGTCTCTTGTGTCGCAAGACCATTTTGTAGTGAATGGTCAAATTCATGAAATTTATGCGGAAGATCAGGAAGTTGCAGAATTATTAAGAACCGGTAAGCAATCTTACATTTTTACAATTAAATTAAATTTTTAATTTAAGATTAAGAAGCTGCACAACAGTATTCAAATAATTCAAACAACACTTCTAAGGAGCCTACAGTTACAGGTTAGACATTATTTGTATAATATATTCAGGTATGGAAATCTAAACGCGGACCTTCTATTTTACAATGAATTGGACAAGGTATAATACAACCACGCGTAAAACAAAGACCAACGAGTAGTAATGCATTACCCTCGCTTCACTCCCACTTATGCTAGTCCTATCCCAAATCCTAATAGATTTGGCTTGTATGGTGCACGTTTTAATATCAGAATCTGTATAGATATAGGTACTTTAACAAGTTCTTAAAAAAGCACTTGCCTTTATAAATAACAGTAAACTTGTAGGTAATATTTTTTTTTCAAAATCAACGAATGAGGCAACTCTAATGCTAATATTCTGTATTAAACAATACGAAGAGGATTTGGAAAGTTGCCAAAAAAAGAGAATGTGGAGAAAAATTTCAAAAGAAATAAACGAAAACTATTAACAAATTTTACACCCACGCAAGGTATATAGTTATTGATCTCAGATTATAATTTTATTTGTAGTAAAATAAAACTATTTATAAACATTTTAAATCTTTTATTTATTGCATATATACATATACACTTAATAATAATAGCCTGTATTGCAATTACAATAAAAAAAGATAATAATAAACACAATACCTCGGCTGTCCAAAATAAAAACCATGTAACTACATTTTTTATAAAACTGAGAAAAATGAGATTTTGTGTTTTTGATCAAGCCGCTTATAGCAAATCGCTTAATGAAAAAACAAAAAAAAATGTCACTGCTTCTTGTATATTTGACATAAGAATAATTTATGCAAATGTTTTCTCATCTATCTACTAAATTAGAAGATAGGCATAAGAAAAACGGTTTTTATTTTGAATTTTTGTGGTTATTTAATGCCACCAGTACATAAAAAAACCAAGTAATTGCCATTACTATTTTCTTGTACCGCAAGCCCTGGTAAGGAAATATTTTGTTTTTACTTAAAAACCCAGTAAGTGTCTGTACTGCTTTTATATTTATTATTAATTTGAAATATTTCCTGTACAAACCATGCAACTGTCTTATTTTTTTTTTGAGATATTTCACAAATATCAAATATCAAAATGAAATAAAAGTCATTTACCAGTTTTAATATTATATTATATTATATTATATTCGAAAAAAACAAAAAACAAATCTTAAAAAATAGTATTATTTTTAATGTATATATACTACTGCTTATGATCAGCCTAAAACTTACAATAGTTTGTACAATAGGTATCACAAAAATTAGATTTAAACCGTAGTAAGAATGAAATTATTAGAAATAACTGCTGACCCATTAGCTAGGTTTTATTAGTACATATTAAAGTTTGAAACTAGGTGTCACAAAAAAATTTAAAGTCCTTAACTAAAATAAAATGATTCCCCTTCTAATTCAAGCTGCTCATTGTTAGTTAAATCAGCTGAAGCTTCAGATTCCGGTAAATTAACCCAAAAATTTCGTCTATTTTCGGGCATAAGAGGAACCAAAACACGCAAAATATTTTGCTTTTTTTGTGAGTTAATTCCCCTAACAGGCAATGTTTTTACCTTCGGAGGTTCTCTTTGTAATTCTGCTATATATTTTTTTTGAAACAAATCAATTGTTTTAGGATCGTCGCTAAAATTGTATTTATAGTCAATGGTAAATTTACCTTTCTCAAAAGTTACTTCAACAACATTTGACAGGACAAATTCTTTAATAGGGTCGTCACTTTTTTTTGTACTTCTTTTTTATTCTTAAAAATGTGAAATTTTTCCAAAAGTAATATTTTTAAACCTTTTCTAGCAGATTGAGCAGTTTCAATCAAGTCCTTAAAATCATAAATATTACGTTTTCTTAGAATTTTCTTTTCAATGTTGCCATGGATTCCATCTGCGGTCATGTGGGTGTGACCCTTAGTTAAGTATTTTAAAGTTACCTTCCTAGGTCCTTCTGGAAAATTAACAACATAAACTAAAAATGAGTAAATGACATAATTTTTATTTTGGCTTCAGCAGTTATCGGCCCAAAAGACAAATTCTTCTGCATCTCTTTCAGTTTCTATCACTTGCAAAACGGCATCAGAAATACATTCCGCTTTGCGGCTTCCCAAAGCCTCGTGCCAAAAAACACAATAACCGCTGTTATTTAAATCCGGCTTTAATGTTGCAAATGTTTCATTAAATACAATTAACCTACTTGTGAAGAAACATGATTTATTATGTGGCATAATAGGCAAGATGATTACTTTTTGCAAGTCCATTGAGTAAAATCTAATATTTGGACTAACCAATGATTTTTCTGAGTCTCTTTTATATTCAGCTCCTGCATTTTGTGCCTTTTCTTTGTGCTGTTTCAATTCATTTTCTGCTGCCTTTTTCAGGTCCTCATTTTCAGCTTCTTTTATTTTATTTTCTAAATTTAAACAGTCTTCACATTTGTCCGACTTTGGCGTATAGAAGCTTATATTCAAATCCTTAATCACCTTTCTGTAAGTCTCCACGGAGCATTTCATATTTGGATTATTTTCTTTAAAATCCCTAACCATAAAGTTTACGTTTAGATCGCGAGACAGATATTTAACATTTGGTGCATTTTTTCTCCTGTAGTGGCTAACACAAGGATGAAAGGAATTTATGTGAGTTATAATAGGAGTTTTATCAATTTCCAAATGTGGTTTGGGGTGAATACCCCTCCTTTCCGTTACCATCTTTCCACATGGTGCACCCTTTATTTCCGCCACCAAATGCGTTATAACTGAGTCATTTTTATAACCTAGAGTACTTAGAAATGTAAATCTGCAAAATTTTTCTTCTCTTCCGTCTGGTAGTGGTAATGAATACACTCTATAATCTTTTCTAGGTTTTTTAGCATTAACTAATCTTCTTTTTACCGGAACCAGTGTAACATGCTTGCTCATCCACTTTCTTCGTGCTGTGTAGTCCAAGGACCAAAAAACTTACTTCCTCCGTTAGTTCACTACATTGTTGCCTGCATTTTCCGTTGCATTTTTTTAACATTTCATGTTTCTTTCTAGTTATTTCAAGAATATTTTTTTTATCTCTTTTTAAAGATTTTTTTTTGTTTTGAACTTTTATTTCCCCACCTTCTTTATTTTTTCGTTGTTCGTTATTATCTTGTTTTTTTACAATATCTAGTTCAGTGTTTTCTTTTCTATTTATATCTTCCGTCTCCATCGTTAAATTTTGATCTTTAAAAACTTTTTCTACGTGTTTTTCTTCTTTATCTTCAGTGCAGGATTTTTGTGTTTTCCTTCCTTCCTCTAAAATAGAAAATATCGTAAGAATGAGCAACATGTTGATTCTGCAGGTACCTACATTATGGCAAGTGCGCAATAATTTAAAATACCTGAATAATATTTTTATCCTGTTTTTCCACTAGAATGTTTTTCTTATTTGCATTGGGGCTAGTTAAAGTTTTCTGTGAGCTTTTCCTTTCATCTATATTTTCAAAAAAACCTTGTTTTTTCTTTCTCTCTTGCCAATCCTAAAACATTAAATTATTTAGAAACGACCCCTGTCACCTAGGTACATTTTACTTGTTAGACACTATTATGGAATTTTTAAATTACTTGCTGTGCTTAAAAGGATACTTTCCTATATCAAATAATCAATATTTTAAATCACTTACCTGTGGATCATTTCTATCCTGTTTTTCCATGTTGCTTCTAGTTGAAGTTTTCTGAGTGTTTTCTTTTCCATCTATGTCTTCACAATACTTATTGTTGTTCTCTCCCTGTTGCTTATCCTAAAAGAGTACGGTTTGTGTCACCGAATTATCTTACTTGTTAGCTACCAATATTAAGTAATAATCAGAATCAACCATTCAGGTACTTACCATCAGATTTTCGGTCAAAATATTTCTATTTGCATTGGGGCTTGTTGAAGTTTTCTGAAATTACAAATTAATTAATAACTCCGTTTATAATTGTATTTTCTATCTATTACTTTTCTAGGAAAACAATCTATCAAGCGCAATTTAAAAAACAGCAAAATTTCACCCATTGAAATTAAAGAACTTATGTAATATTGGCAATTTTTCTGAAAACCTAACTTCAGATTTCTATAAATGAAAATGAAATGTTCTGTAACATACCACTCACCTTAATACAAGAACGTTTGTGAGGCGTATTTTCGTTATCGGAGCTGCTGCTGCTCTTCGGTGGTGAATATGTTTTGTCCTGATCGCTGTCATCATATGTACTACTTATTTCACCATCACTATCATAATAATTCAGTAGCCATCTGTTTGCTGTTCTATAGGAAACACTTAGTTCATCCCTATTTTCTAGGTTGTCCAAAAAGTAGCAACTAGTTTCATACTTTCTGGACCAAAAAGATGAAGAATAATTTATTTGAAAGGCATTCTGAATGACTCTGCATCGATCACTGACATCGTTGTTGTTCTTCTAAAAATGAATAAATTAATTTACCTAAAGGCTTCACGAACCCATAACCAACAATTTTAATAATACAGCCGTCCGTCGCGTCAGTAAAAAAATTTAGACTACAGAAAAGAAATATCTAAAAAATATGATATGGCGATATCCGTAAGTTTTTTAAATGAACAATAAATACTTACGTTTTGCTTCACTTTTGAACCTTCATCGGTTTCTCTCCATTGTTGTAGTGCGCCCTCATAAATCCTCTTCGATCTTTGGCTTATAACGCTGGAGGCGAACATCCTTCCGCTATGAAATTTCTTGGAATACTGATCTTTTCTTATGCAAAACTACTAATTAATACAAGTTTTACACTTTTTTGGAGGGGAAAACAGCATAAAAACAAAGTAACTGCATATACCAATAAAGAAACCAAGTAACTGCAATGCAATTACTTTCTTTTTAATTGCTAAAGTGCATTTATTTCATTAGACCCTAAACCAAAAAATTGTTAAAATTCAAAATAAAAACAAAGCAAGTTAAATATCTTAATAAAAACCAAGTAACTGAAATTCAGTTACTTCGTTTTTATATTGTGAAATACACTTACTTTGTTTTTATTTTGAAAAGGCCTGTAAGTACGGGCAGTTACTTGGTTTGACTGATACTATATCTTCGGTGTTTACTGTTCGATTGCAAAGATTTTTACACCGAAATGTGCGTAAGAACAGAGCAAGGTCGGATAACGTGAAAATTCAATTTTTCAAAAAATGTTAGTTACTTGGTTTCTATTTTGGACAGCCGACCTCTTATAATATGATGATAATATATGAAAAACAAAGTTAACACAAATTTAATGCAATTGTCTCCATTTGTGACACAAATAGAAATACATTTAAATAAATAACTTTTTATAATAAATTGACATTTTTTGTTTATCTGTAAAGATGTTACAGGAATTACACCGGTTATTGGAATGATTGCCCATAACGTTTAATGGTAAGTTGATTGATACATTTGTTCTGGAACTGCTACAATAAAAGCTCATCTAGAGAAGTTGCATGAGATGCTAAAGTTGTATCGTCGGCATAAAGTGTGGTATAGTCTTCAGACACATGTTGATGAAGATTATTCGCATGTAAGAAAAATATTAGTGGTCCCAAAACTGAGCCTTGTGGTGTGGGAGAAGTGGTATGAATGGAATACTATTTCTCAATCGGCCACACTTTTTATATTTTTTTGGAAAAATGCTCGGATTTGTTCATGAATTTGTAGTTAATTTTTACAATAACATATTCCTCCAGTAAATATTTTGAATTTTAAATAATAAGAGATGATAAATAAATAAAATAAAAATTGAAATGTCCTATTCAACACCTGCATATTTTGAACGGGACACATACTTTACGAATGTCGCCAGTTTTTTGCCTTTCCTTTCTTTGATATTCCGGTGGAATGCATCCACTTACTGCTTGCACATTTTCACTCATTTATAAATTTAAATATCGGGACACAATCATGTAAGAACTACCCGAGACGCTTATTACAACTAAACTGCTTAAAAGCTTTAGAATACACGAATCCTGTCACGATCATCTGATATGCGTCTTTTATGGCACTTGGGCCTGTTTGATTAAACTTATAAACCTTGATCATAGAAGGCGAAATAATTACTATGAAATTTATGTTGCAAGTAAATGATGACGGATAGAACCTATAACCGTAATAATATCAGTTGTGAGAAAAATGGCACTTAGGCCCTTCTGCATATTTCACTCTTCAAATGGAAAACATTTCACCTCCAGCTAAAGTATTATGT